GCTGTCTCACGTGCTAGTCCTCGCTAAAATTTTGTCTGCTGTGAGGGCAACCTGGATAAGCGGTTTATCCTCTAGTGCAGCTGTGATTGCAGACTGAATATGAGCTGATGAGGATTCAAACCATAATTCTTTCACTATCTCAGAGTCAGCTGTCGTAGGTCCTGCCAAAGAATTCAGGCGTATGAGATGGTGGCTTAGCTTAGCATCACCCAGGGGGTGACCTGCTTATAAAGTCCTCGGTCATTCCAACATCGATGGGAGGAAATGTGTGAAAATCTCCTCCTTCAGACGATCGTAGATATGTGATACGTAAGAATTGAGGATGACCTCATGGAGAGCAGCTGTGTCGTCCCCAGGTAAAGAGTCCAGAGCATAGGCATATTTCTTCTGCTTGCTCGTAATGCGGAAGATCTCCAGTTTAGCTTCCAATATATATATATTAAAAAATATCTATATGGTATGAGCAACAACGGAAAAAGTTATCATTCGTGGATCGATAAATAACAGACTCGCCTCAATGGGCTTGGTTTTGACAGATTTAGAAGCCGCTGATGCGCGACCATTCGTCGCTCATCTGATATAGAGAACTGAAGCTATATTACGCCAATAAACTCGTCGAATCTCGTCAGAGGCAGAGACCAAAATACCAGCTGCCATTAAAGTTGAAGTTTATTCGTTGGAGATATTGTGGTATACAATTAATGCGATGATTCATTCGAAATGTAAAGGCGAGACGACCAAGCGTACATGAGCAAGCAGAAGGTCAATCAAGGAAGGACGATGTCTGTTTTGGGTACAGTTAAACCAACGAGAAACGTAAAACGATCACTGGTACAATGAGTTATAATAATGAATCTTTATATTAAGCTAATCGCGTCCTATTCATAGAACTACAATTACTACATGTTCATCATAGCTAACATTAAAACAAATGACAACGATCTATTATTTCTTCATTCCTATAACATCTCATACCGTTCACTAATTTGATTGATTGATTGATTGATTGGTTAGATTATTGGTGCAAACCAACGTTTCCCGTCATCGTCAATATCTTTTGTCCATTCACTGAATGATTGTTGCAATTAACAATCGTTTGATAAACAACATATAAACTAAACACAACAATCAGACCTAATGAAAAATTGAATTTTACATCAGTAAAACACATTGGATGCAGGAGTACATTTAAGAATGGTCATGAATAAAGATGCATCACTGGAAAACAACACAATGATCACTGAATATTCTTCATCACATTGACTTAATCAAGCATAAAGATTGACTGATTTATCCATCTACTCTTCGAATAATCATTCATAATTCATTAAGCACTGTCTGACCAATAACAATGTGCAGTGTTTCTGAATTGCACTGAACACATGAAACATTGTTATACAGTAACCAGTATAACATTACTGTGTATATTCTGTGTCCTCATTTCAAGATGAAATCGAATCGATATTGATTTTCACTTATTGATCAACTGTGATGATGATGATGATGATGAGATTTTTTATGGAAATAAGGTAATCATGTGAAATGGATGTGAACTCAATTATTCTTTTAATGTGAAACATTATGTTTCAAGATAATTTTCACTAGAACACAGATCACTAACTGTAACTACTGAAAATAATCAATCGGTTTTGATTTTAATCTCTCGCGAGTACTTTACAAACTCATACATGATAAGATAAAATTCAGTCAAGCATTCCTCTTACAACTTCATTAGAAAATCTAACATATCGAATTCATAAATTAAAATTTGCACACCTCCATTTGATTACTAATACAACATACTTACATGTAATGAATACTAACTACATGAAGCCTAATCACTCAACTTAATTTATTCAACATTGTTGATTCAATGATTGTTGAATTCGATGATGAAGTGTCAATGTTTGTTCAAAGTATAAATATCTTGTGAAATTTACTCAGTTTAAAAAATAATCAGATGTATACAATGGGTGAACAATGAGCAAACAATTACTTTGTTTTTAATTGGTTTTTGGTGAATATCACCAATTTACTCTTTGCAAATGAACTATTCCATTTGTTTAAGTTATTCTATTTTTACTGTACACTGTTACGTCTGTACGTAAACACATCATTTTTATATGCTTGAAGTATTACGAGTTTACATAGTTGGAAAACGAGAGTGAGGATCGAGGATCCGGCGACACGACATGCTACTCTAATCCGATTATCCTAACTCCCATTTTGAGTAAAAATAAGAAGAGTTGATATGAAGTAGAACATCTATTCTACAAGCATTCAGAAAGTAAGAGGTTCGAGTCCGGAACAGAATCAGGATCCCGGACTATAGATCCGGGATATGGTCCTAGTCCTGGTCATAAAACGTTTCACATAATGTGTATTTATACATTTTGGTCGAATAGGAAACAACATTGAATTCTGTGATATTGACAGTTAAGACGATCAATAGAAAGCCCTATTTGAAGTGACATTGATAGTCAGGACAACCAATAAGAAACAACATTTGATCACATGACATTGATATCTAGGACGACCATAAAATTAACCAGTAAGAACTAACCAATAGGAATTGACCAATAATAATTCTCTTAAGATATTGCATGAATATCCTAACAGACACTATTACTCATGCATGCATTTTAAATTTAGTAAGTTCCAAACTACTTCACGATTCTCATCTAGGATCACATTGTATGTATTACAATCGATGAGATGATTACTGATTATACAAAGAATAGATGATATTTCTAATGAATTAATTTATTCATCTGAATATTTTAATTACAAAGATTATTATTACTACATACTAAATGTAGTGCTTAAAAATTCATACAGTTCATCAATGAAATAATTTTCTCACCTTCTAGACATTGAAACCTTATGATAAAAAAAGGGGATTATTCACATGTTTAAATAAAGGTCGAAAGGTGAATAAAGTTTTTTTAAAATCATAAAATATCACTCAATAATGTTTATGTAATCAAAAAAAAAACGCAATTCCAAACTGTTCATTTTTTTTATTAACTCTCATCCCGATATAACTTGTCAACATTGACAAATACATGAACTACCTTTTTTTTCTGTTTTCCGGTTTTTTATTGATTAAATTCATTGATCTTGTTCATTTTGGTCAATTTCATTAGTCTCTATGGTATTTGAATAATTTGAATTGCATAATTCTATTTGTTCGGAATGATTGTCAATGATGAAAGTTTGTTGTTGTTTTTCTAATAATGATTGTGAATTTTGTAATGGTTGTTTTAATTGATGTTCATGATATTTACTACGGGATAAAGTGATTCTCAATGTTTTTTCATCAACATTATTGATCAAACCAATTTTTGTATAATGCCTAAATAATATTGTCATAATCAATAGGATTACAATGAAATTGCCTAACATATGATAACAGAATAAATTTGCAGCTGCTGATCTACTTTGATTAGCTTGTTGATCCCAAATTGGCATCCATGATGTTTTAGGATAGAGAATAGCTCCAACCTATAAATAGTAATCATAATAATAATAATAATAATAATAGTGTAGTGAAGGAGAACACAGGTGGTGAGAGCAACCGAATTGTATATAACGGAAATTACAGAGTTACTCAGTCAGTAAAATTGGAAAACCATATTGTAAATTGTTCATTTGAAAAAAATATCAGTTCATCATCATATCGAACTGGACTGCTGTTCCTGTTGCAAACAACATCAATCCATTGTCACTCACTGTTCATGCGTTTCATACACAAATTCGATTGTGTGTTCTAACTCTTCCTTTCTTGATCTTCCCCCCCATCTTCTGCTGCCAGACATTACGTTGACTGACACTCACGTCATACACTACTACTTATAAGTAGCTCGCACCACAATAGTCACAGCAAATATTCATCTTTTGATTTTAGTTAAAACTAGATAATTTAATGTAATTTGACTGCAAACGCCGAAAAAAATTTTTTTTTCAAGTCATAAAGTGTGATAAATGAACCAATCGGTGTGTGTACTGTTGAGATGTAGCGAGCGCATTAGCTTAAAAAAACAAAAACAACCCATTCACCATTATTCTAAGTTTTATTTTTTAAAATTAAATGTACTACATTATCACTGCTGTTATCTTGTGATATAAAAACAATCAAAGTTTATTGAATTATTTTCTCAGTTAATCTGAAGTTATCTATCATTCATGACAGATTAATCTTGGTGTTCAGAGTTAGACATTAACACTGTTGGATGCTGGCCCAGTGGTCCGATGGTAAGGCGTTCGCCTACAATGCCAAAGGTCCCGGGCTCGAATCCTACAAGGAGCAGGAGTCGTGGATGCGCACTGCTGAGGAGTCCCATACTAGGACGAAACGGCCGTCCAGTGCTTCCAGGTTTCTAATGGTGGTCTAACAATGATGATTGATTAATGATTTCAAATGTGTAAAAAAGATTAATCTTGATTACGATACTATGAATCGGTTAAATATCTCTTTTTATTCTAGTGAGAAGACTGAGGCAGGCGTTAAAGATTGTATTATGCAAATTCACACTCTTAGTCAATTAAAAACGACAAAATTACATTAAACACAGTCTATTTGTACACCATCTTCTTGAGTCGTGACTTCCAACTCTCCATCCTTCTTCCATTCGTGTTGTTGCTTCCTTTCCTTCCTTCCTGTTGATACTCTATTTATTTCTTGCTTTTGCTCCATTTGCTTTCCGTTTTTGCTCTTCTGACCGTGAGACTTCTTCTTCTTTCACGTCCCTTCTTATACTACTACTTATATCGTTCGTATAAGTAGCATAAGCAGTATAGTGCTAGTTAAAAGTGAACTTTCAGGTGACTTGATCAGCCCTTAACTTCATTTTACTCTCAAGATTAGTTGAGGTGAATTTTTTTGATCGATACCACTTTCGAGTGATACTAATCGATACAAATCTTATCGATCAATGATCAATTACCTGTTAAATTCATCGCTTTGTTTGAATATGAATGAATACTAGTCAACCAATAATATTTGTATAATTTCTGTCACACACACACAGACAGACACATACACACGCATTATTGATTAACGATCATTTCTATTCATTGTACATCCTTTAGTGTGTGTGTGTGTGTGTGTGCGTGTGTGTGTGTGTGTATGTGTGTGTGTAATAGATTCGAGATAAAAAAAAAACTTGTTGAGTAAAATAAAAACAAGTCCAGACTTCGAAATGAGAATGAATATCAAAATGAAACTAAACACAGTTTTCGAAAAAATCGATAAAAGAAAAAGGTCTGTTTTTTAGTTTTAACCTCTGAAATTATACAAATTTAAAGTAATTTAGCCATAATAATAATAATAATAAAATCAATTATTTGAATTAATTTACAAAACTATCAATCAAAATCATATAGACAGCTTAGGAAATGCACAATATAACCAAGAAACTATTTATTCAACAATTCATTTGTTAGGATATTCATCAAATATCCTAAGAGAATTATTATTGGTCAATTCCTATTGGTTAATTCCGACTGGTCAATTTTATGATCATCCTAGATATCAATGTCACGTACTCCAATGCTGTTTCTTATTCGTTGTCCTGACTATCAATGTCACTTCAAAGGTTGCTTCCTATTTGATCGTCTTAACTGTCAATATCACAGAATTCGATGCTGTTTCCTATTCGACCAAAATGTATAAATACACATTATGTGTAACGTTTTATGACCAGGACTAGGACCATGTCCCGGATCCGTAGTCCGGGATCCTGATTATCTTCCGGATTCGAATCTCTTACTTTCTGAATGCTCGTAGAATATATGTTCTACTTCATGTCAAGTCTTCTCATTTTAACTCAATATGGGAATTAGGATAATCGGATTAGAGTAGCATGTCTTGTCGCCGGATCCTCAATCCTCACTCTCGTTTTCCAACTATGTAAACTCGTCATAGTTCAAGTATGCCAAGTTGACGTAGAAACGTGCAGGCGTAGCATCATTTCAAAAATAATCATCTAAGTCATTGAATTTTCATGAAATCCTTGTTATTCATAGTTATCCATATTTAACCAGATAGTAGGCTGTACAGTTTTAACACTAAACTGTTAACCTAAATCTGTGTATCTGCTTAGGATCATCATGACAGCTGTGATAATGACTAGTAGTATATATTGATTGGTACACTGAAATGTTGAACAAGTAGTCAATGTCAAGACAAGACTCACTAACTCAATGAAAAACATAGTTCTTTTCTCTATTTCGGAACAAGAAATACTTCGTCGGAAACATTAGCACAAGGATATGATTGGTGAATTCAACTAATGGATGATTCCATTACCTTAATTACTTAATTACGCCTGTTACCCACAATGGAGCTAAGGGCCTCCGACAAGTTTTCGCCAACCTACTCTTTCCTCAACGTCCATTTACAGTTCTGTCCAATTTCTGTTCATTTTCCTCATGTCTTTCTCTATTTCTCCACGTAATGTGTTCTCTGGCCTTCCTCTTCTCCTTTCACCTTGAGGGTTCCTAATGAGGACTTATCTTGTGAAACAGTTGAGTGCTTTCCGCAGTGTGTATCCTATCCACTCCCCTCAGCTTCTTCCTCATTTCCTACTCAGTTACAATCTGGTTTGTTCTCTCTCACAAAGTAAGTTGTTGCTAATAGTGTCTGGTCAACGAATCCGAAGTATTTTGTGTAGACATATCTGTTCATAAATACTTGTATCTTCTGAATGATGTTGGTTTACGTAGTTCTCCAAGTTTTCGCTGCATACAGCTGTAGAAATCCAACCCTTACTTTGCCTAATCCACACCTTCACATCTATATCAAATCCATCTGGATTTTATTACCTGCTACAATGAAATATTTCATTATTACTTGTAACATGTGTGAATTAATTTAAAGAATCAAATCAAAATAAAATATCTAACACTAGGCAGATAAAAAAAATTACTTACTTGACAAAACCATGTACCTTGCATAAGATATGTCCAACTACGTAATAAACCATAGATTGGTTCATTTGATTTCAATAATTCAATCATTGACACTAGAATGCCTAATATAATCATACTGGTCAATAATAAATGTAGATAAACATCCAGTACACTACGATGATGTAAATGAAATACAAATAAAAATAATTCACCCAATAATGCGATTCCATGAAAAAGATATTCACATTGACTGTAATATCAAAGAGAAATATGGAGAAAAAAAATAGAAACAGGGTTGTGAAGATTGTTATATTTTTCAAAACCATCAATCAATTAATGTTAGATCAGCAGTATCATTGGAAACTTGAAAGCATTGAAAGTGTGGCCGTTTCATCGTGGTATGGGACTACTACTAATCTTCAATGGAAGTGTGCATCGATGACTCTTACACCTCCGCAGGATTCGAACACAGGACCTTTGGTATTGTACTCGAACACCGAATCACTGGACCATCAAGTCAGTATCTAACGATGTTATTGTCTAATTTTTGATCAATTCATGGAGTTTTGCAACCTTATATAGTAGGAGTCGTGGATGCGCACTGTCACTAATGAGTAGTTCCTATACCAGGACGAAACGGTCGCACTTTCAATGCTTTCAGGTTTCTAATGATACTGGTCTAACATTGATCTATTGATGGTTTCAAAAATGTGTAAATACAATTGTACATTTGACTTACCAATGTGTAGGGTGCTATTAATGTCAAAAATTTTTTTTGAAAGCACTTTTATTATGAAGATTGGTGAAATTCGTTTCAAAGTTTTTGTCATAGATTGATTTTAGCCTAACAAAACAAAATGTTACGATTGATAGCTTCACCACGTTATTTGATATGCTTGAACTATTTCGAGTTCACCTTAGTGAGTGAACAGGAGCGAGGATCGATGATCCGGCGACACAACAGGTCACTCTAATCCGAACGTCCCAAACCCCCATTGAATAGAAGAAGAAGAAGAAGAAGACTTGTTGTGAAGTAGAAAATATATTCTACCAGCACCCAGAAAGTATGAGGTCTGAGTCCACAAGAGGATAACGATCTCGGACTAAGGATCCGGATCATAAAACGTTTACAGATAATACATATTTATACAGTTAGGTTGAATAGGAAACAAAATTCGAAGTATGTGACAGGGATAATTAGGACGACCAATAGGAATTGACCAATAGAGTAGAATTGACCATATATATATATATATATATATATATATATAAAGTGTTGTACATAAATATGGTTCATGATAAGAAATTCACTGACCAGTCAATACATTTTTGTATTGTATTTGATTAAGACACTAGCTAGTAAGTAATCAGTTGTCACATCTTACTTACTTACTTAAGCCTGTTACCCACAATGGAACATAGGCCGCCCACCAGTTTTCTCCAACCAACTCTGTCCTGGGCTTCCCTCACCAGTTCTGTCCAATTTCTCTTCATTTTCCTCATGTCTTTCTGTATTTCTCCACGTAATGTGTTCTCTGGCCTTCCTCTTTTCCTTTCACGTTGAGGGTTCCTAATGAGGACTTATCTTGTGAAGCAGTTGAGTGCTTTCCACAGTGTGTATCCTATCCACTCCCCTCAGCTTCTTCCTCATTTCCTACTCAGTTACAATTCGGTTTGTTCTCTCTCACAAAGTAAGTTGTTGCTGATAGTGTCTGGTCAACGAATCCGAATTATTTTGTGTAGACATATCTGTTCATAAATACTTGTATCTTCTAGATGATGTTGGTTTACGTAGTTCTCCAAGTTTTCGCTCCATACAATAGTAGAACTGTTTTGACATTTGTATTGAAAATATTGATTTTGTTGTTAATTGATATATTTGTTTTGAATTCCAGAAATATAGCCCTTGCTTTGCTTTGCCTAATCCGTGCCCTCATATCTGCCCATCTTATCCAACTTGATTGTCGATGATGCTGCACAGATATGTATAAGTGTTAACGTCCTCCAAGATGTATTCATCAAGAGTGATTTGGTTGGTGCATATTGTGTTGTATCGTAGAATCTTACTTTTCCTTTTATGTATGCTGAGACCTGGTGCTTCTTAAGCTGCTGATGACTAATTATTCAATAAACTAAATGATATTTCATTTTTTTAATCAAATTATCAAGTACCATGAAATAAACTCTTCATTCAACAGTAATTATTGTCATTAATTAACTGATATTGATAAATAGGTTGCATGTACCATAGATATATGTGTGGTGCGAGCTACTTATAAGTAGTAGTGTATGACGTGAGTGTCAACGTAATGTCTGGCAGAAAAAGATGGAGGAAGATCAAGAAAGGAAGAGTTAGAAAACGATGGAATTTGTATGAAATGCATGGATAGTGAGTGACAATGGATTGATGTTGTTTGCAACAGGAACAGTCCAGTTCAATATGATGAAATGATATTTTGCAAATGAAAGATTTACGATATGGTGTTCCGATTTTACTGAGTAACTCTGTAATATGGTTGCCCGAACTGTGTTCTCCTTCACTATATTTTAAAAAAAAAATACGGACACAAATCTCATTCAACCCCTTTTTGGGAAATACCCCTCTTTTTTTGATGAACAACTTGTTCTATCTAGTTGTCTTTTTTTCAGACAATATATGAAATTCTTCCCCGCGAGAGGGAGATTATCTATCTCTTCAATGCGCACATCTTGAAACCTAATGATTTAATAATGTTTGTGTGCACGGACGATTTTCCTGATTTCTATTCATTTACAATAAATACAGATGAAGGATAATTTATTGGAAAGCATTAAAGACTACACTAATCTCCATTACTCTCTAATTGAAAATATCGTAAACTGTGCTCACCAGTGACTACTAGCTTCCTGAGGAAATTCTCGGAGTTCTTCTAGTGAGAAGACGTGACCAGAGGAATTCAACCCTGTCTAGTGTAGGCAGTAACTACCGAAGACAAGTGGCTGAAGTCACGTAAAATCTCTTAGGATTGATTAGAGTTAAACATTAACACCGTTAGATACTGACTGGCCCAATGATCCAGAGGTTGGGCGCCTGCGCATAAGACCAAAGATCTTGGGTTCAAATCTTACAAAAAGATGAAATTAAACCATTGAATGTCATCTCAATTGTTTAAATCATAAGTACATATTTGAAGACGTCAAAGTTTTTTGTTAAGAATCATCAATATTGAAAATTTAAAACAATTGTACGTTTTAATAGAACAATGAGATGTAAATTGAATAACAAAGGGTGGAAAATTGTCATATGACTCTAAGCCATAAAATGTGACAACTTCCTACCCCTTTTCTTATTTTCTTTCCTAATTACGTTAATTTTCTCTCTCGCTCTCTCCTTCATTTACAATTATCACCTTAAGTCTATTTGAACTTTTATTTCATGGAACTGTGGTGCGCGCTACTTATAAGTAGTATATGGCGCGAGTGCATACGTAATGTCTGGCAACAGAAGATGGGGGAAGATCAAGAAAGGAAGAGTGGGAACACAATGGAATTTGTATGAAACTCATGAATAGTAAAATGTCAGACAATGGATTGATGATTGATATAAGATTTGCAAATTAACCGTTTACGATATGGTTTTCCTATTTTACTGAGTAACTCTGTAATTTTCGTTAAACGCAATTCGGTTGCCCTCACCTGTGTTCTCCTTCACTACAGAACTTTTATTAAATTTCATATAAAATACCTTGATAAGTGAATATGTGTGATCAGATTGTTTGAAATATGTATAGCAAAAATACATCACAGCATTTTTCCGATCAATTACTTCTTATCAATATTCTATCAAAACAAACTTCTTTTTTACACATTTGAAATCACCAATCAATCAATCATTGTTAGACCACCGCCATTAGAAACATGGAAGCACTGAAAGACGGCCGTTTCGACCTCGTACGAGACTGACCCATCAGTAGTGCTCATACATTACTCTTGCTGCTCGCAGAGTTCGAACCAAGGACTTTCGGTTTTGCGCGCGAGCGCCTAACTTCTGGACCACTGAGCCGTAATGCGATTGTTTGTGCTCACTAGTATCCAGCACCCTGAGGAATCTTCTTTGAGTTCTACTGAGAAGTCATGACCAGTGAAGTTCAACCTGTTCGGGTGTAGGCAGTAACTACCGAAGACAGTGTATGAAGTTGCGCAACTCCGTGAACTGATCGAAGTTAGACATTAACACCGTTAGATACCGACTCAGTGGTCGAGAGGTTGATCGTTACACCTGCATCGCGGAATTCTAATATGTGAAGGCACAAATCGGCAAAGCAAGCGATGCAGTTATACAATCAAACAACATTCGGAACTTAAAACAACTGTCAAGAAAACACTAAAGTCACAATTTTCAATAAAAATGTTAAGACAGTTCTACCATATAAAGTAAAAACTTGGCAAACTACATAAACCATCTCCCAGAAGATTCAAGTATTCCTTAACAGTTGTCTATGCAAAACATTTTGGATTCGTCGGCCAAACACCATCAACAGCCACTAACTCCAACAGAGAACAAACCAGACTCCAACTGAGTAGGAAATCAGGAAGAATTGCTGGAGTTAGTGTATAGGACAAACATTGAGGAAAACACCGAACTGTATCACATGACAAGCGCTCAACCTCAAGGTGAAAGTAGAAAGAGTAAGTCCAAGAAACACATTGTAGTGAAGGAGAACACAGGTGGGGCAACCGAATTGTATTCAACAAAAATTACAGAGTTACTCAGTAAAATTGGAAAACCATATCGTAAATTGTTCATTTGCAAAATATCAGTTCATCATCATATCGAACTGGACTGTTCCTGTTGCAAAACATCAATCCATTGTCACTCACTAGTCATGCGTTTCATACAAATTCCATCGTTTTCTAACTCTTCCTTTCTTGATCTTCTCCCATCTCCCGCTGCCAGACATTACGTTGACGCTCACGTCATATACTACTTATAAGTAGCTCACACCACAACATTACGTGAAGAAATGGAGACAGACATGAGAAGAATGAATAAAAATTGTACAGAACTATACAAAAAGGGATCTGCAAGATTGAATAAGTTGGATAATACTCGTTGGTGACCTATGCTCCACATTGAGTGTGATAGGCGTAAGTAGGTGTGTACAAAAGTAATGTTTTGACGTAACCAGTGCATTTCAACCCAATTATTGATTGAAAGTCACTTCATATGACTGATGTTAGCCTATGTCAACCAACCTATTGTAATTTATTGTTACATAATAATTATAGATTGTTACATTATTGGACATATCATGACAAATCTGCATTCGAATTAAACTTTTTACATTGAATACACACACACACACACACAAATAATCAATAATCAATAACACATCTACTTACATTGGAATTTTTAAAATCTCATAAAATATGCATAATTCAATTATTCCACTTAGACCAAACAATGAGAACATTGTAGAATGTTGTGCATTACCAATATGTACAAATATCCATTCATTATTAAATCCTGTGATCACTTCACCTATTATTCCAATTATACAACAAATTAATTTAACTGAAGAATCTAATGGAATTGAACCAGAGCTGGAACAATAACAACATAATGTTTTCTTTTCCATTGGATTCGATATTCTACATTGATATTCAGGTACTACTAGTTCATAACTAGTTGGATTTAATTCATAAATTTTACGTCGATAAAATTTTACTAAAATATGCCAAATAGACCATAAACCATAGATGATAAAAAAGCTTCCAGGCAATACATGTCCACCAAATGTTCCCATCTTTAATTTTTATTGGTGTACATACACTAAAACAAACTGATATGATTATTATTCTTTTGTTTTTTTCATGTTGTTTTAATCTCATCATTAAGGCGTAACAAAATAATAATCGATAATTTTAATTGTTACAACAACCAATCATAAGAAAGCTATTGTTGGCATAGGTCAAAGAGATAAGATCTGATTGGTAAGTTTCAAAGGAAACATTAATCGATCAAAATAAAATGTATGTATTTCTGATGTGTTTAAATATAATATCAGGGCATTGTAATAAATTTCAAGGGAATTCAAGTACAAATACTTCAATAAATGTTTTATTTTATTAATGAGATGAGTGAACGCTAACATTAGGAAGAGTAAGTTATATGAAATGTGATAGTTAGACAGATGAGTGCAACTATACACATTGTGTAATCAGTAATCATCTCATCAATTGTAATACATACAATGCGATCCTAGATGAAAATCATGAAGTAGTTAAGAACTTAATGAATTTAAAATGAATGCATGACTAATAGTGTTTGTTAGGATATTCATCAAATATCCTAAGAAAATTATTGTTCAATTCCTATTGGTTAATTCCTACTGGTCAATTTTATGGTCGTCCTAGATATCAATGTCACTTGCTACAATGTTGTTTCTTATTGGTTGTCCTGACTATCAATGTCACTTCAAATGTTGCTTTCTATTGATCGTCTTAACTGTCAATGTCACAGAATTCGATGCTGTTTCCTATTCGACCAAAATGTATAAATACGCATTATGTGTAACGTTTTATGACCAGGACTAGGACCCTGTCCCGGATCCGTAGTCCGGGATCCTGATTGTCTTCCGGATTCGGATCTCTTACTTTCTGAATGCTTGTAGAATACAAGTTCTACTTCATATCAAATCTTCTTATTTTTACTCAAAATGGGAGTTAGGATAATCGGATTAGAGTAGCATGTCGTGTCGCCGGATCCTCAATCCTCACTCTCGTTTTCCAACTATGTAAACTCGTAATACTTCAAGCATATCAAAATGATGTGTTTACGTACAGACGTAACAGTGTCCAGTAAAAATAAACCAACTTAAATAAATGGAATAGTTCATTTGCAACGAGTAAATTGGTGATATTCACCAAAAACCAATTAAAAACAAAGTAATTGTTTGCTCATTGTTCACGATTGTATACATCTGATTACTTTTTAAACTGAGTAAATTTCACAAGATATTTATACTTTGAACAAACATTGACACTTCATCATCGAATTCAACAATGATTGAATCAACAATGTTGATTAATTTAAGTTGTGTGAATATGCTTCATGTAGTTAGTATTCATTACATGTAAGTATGTTGTATTAGTAATCAAATGGAGGTGTGCAAATTTTAATTTATGAATTCGATATGTTAGATTTTCTAATGAAGTTGTAAGAGGAATGCTTGAATGAATTTTATCTTATCATGTATGAGTTTGTAAAGTACTCACGAGAGATTAAAATCAAAACCGATTGATTATTTTCAGTAGTTACAATAAGTGATCAGTGTTCTAGTGAAAATTATCTTGAAACATAATGTTTCACATTAAAAGAATAAGTGAGTTCACATCCATTTCACATGATTATCTTATTTCCATAAAATATCATCATCATCATCACAGTAGATCAATAAGTGAAAATCAATATCAATTCGATTTCATCTTGAAATGAGGACACAGCATATACACAGTAATGTGATACTGGTTACTGTATAACAATGTTTCATGTGTTCAATGCAATTGAAAAACACTGCACATTGTTATTGATCAGCCAGTGCTTAATAAATTATGAATGATTATTCGAAGAGTAGATGGTTAAATCAGTCAATCTTTATGCTTGATTAAGTCAATGTGATGAAGAATATTCAATGTTCATTGTGTTGTTTTTCAGTGTTGCATCATTATTCATAACCATTCTTAAATGTACTCCTGCATCCAATGTGTTCTACTGATATTAAATTCAATTTTTCATTAGGTCTGATTGTTGTGTTTAGTTTATATGTTGTTTATCAAACGATTGTTAATTGCAACAATCATTCAGTGAATGGACAAAAGATATTGACGATGACGGGAAACGTTGGTTTGCACCAACAATCTAACCAATCAATCAATCAAATTAGTGAACGGTATGAGATGTTATAGGAATGAAGAAATAATAGATCATTGTTATTTGTTTTAATGTTAGCTATGATAGATATATTAGTTGACTGGGCGTCAGAATAGTCAGGATGAATAAAGTTGACTGTATGTCTATGTGAGGAAGAAAGAGAGTAGGGGTACAGTATACAGTGAATCGCTGTGTTTTAACTTTCATGCACTCGAAGTACGGTAACAGACTTTTTGTGTGACTACACAACATTGGGATGTTCAGTAATCTGTGATCTCAGATTGTTTATTTCAACTTTACCATGTTGAAGAAATAAGCATTTCGAATGACTGTGGTCCCTAGCTGACTTCAATCGGTATGAGTAGTATATCTATCAGTGCACATATTGTTGGCAAATTTAGAGAAGATATCAATATTTAGGGTTATTCATAATACGTTCACATTTTGAAATATTCAGTATTTTCCTGATGACAATTGGATAATTACGGTGGAAGTGGGTTTACAAATTTTGTAGCGGTTTGCATTCCATACAATTCCTACGACATTCGTCCTGATAACCATGACTAGATAACGTCCAACAGAGTATATGTCAGAAGAAGAATAGGAAGCTGTGACTACGTACGTTATCTCATCACAGCGGTCTCAAAATCACAGTCATGCGAAGCGAAAATGATATGGGAATGCTGAAGAGCAAGCGAGGAGGTAAGCGCATTAGACTGTGAGCGAGCAAGTGAACACATCGTGATTTGGATAATAAAGTACATATACAAACGTAGAAAAACGAATGAGTCATCGGACTATTTAAGCGGCTAACATTAGGGCGAATAGAATGAATATGTGAGCATTCGTCAAGCAGTTCTCAACCATACATGGTCATGCAAACGCGACAATATTAAGTGACTATCTCTGTTGAATATGAAAGTAGACTTTGCATAAGGTACAAGAATGAGGCGATACGGTCGGTGGTTAGCGTCGCCAATATTCCAAACAATCTATTGACCAACATTCACAGTGTCTTTCAGTGTTCACATTGTTTTACACCTGTTACTACAGGAACGTGGTGTAAACGCATCCAGGTGTTGACAAGTCAAATCTCACTAGCGCTAACTTGATCATTACTCTGGGGATACAGAAGGATGTTGTTTTTCTATGGGAGGAAATTTTTGAAACATAATTCGCTGGTAGACATTTTCTGTCTGAAACAGATTTAT